TCACTGGCCCTCATATGTGGGATCCGAACCGGGGCCCTCTGGCATCCCAAGCGAGTTCTTAACCATCGCGCCACTCGGCCGGCCCTATCTTACATATTTTTATTTGGTTCTTAAAAATGTGCTCTTAAGTGTTCCTTTTTATAAAATAAAAATTTTCTCTTTATTTTCTAAAATCTTCTTCAATTACTTCCTCTAATATCCAAAATTTATCTAGTTTTCCTTTTTAAGGTGGCCAATAGTATGAATTTTTCTAAACTGATTTCATCAGGTTTATAAACGCATCTTGTTATCATCAATAAATGATGCCTTACTTAAAGAATTTTTTTACCAATTTCTGTTACTATAGAAAATCAAGAACTTAAACTTTAGGTGTCTTCTGATTTTATTTTTAGTATTTCATTATGAAATATAAATAGCATTATGAAGTAAAAGCTGACCTTTCCTATGTACTTTCTTTAAAAATCACTAATTATTTATAAACAATTTATTATTAGAAAACAAAGGTAACTTTATTATTATTATTACTTTTTTTCCCCTGGATCTGTGCCTTCCTAAGTAGGAATTCAAGCTAAGCCTCATGGAAACAAATTATAATCAACAACAACAAATATATTGAAGTTAATAATGACTACATATTTCCTTTTCTCTTATTTATATAAATCATTTAAAATAAAAGCATTCAGAAAGGCTGCAATATTTTGAGACTAATTTTAATGATTTAAAATTTATTTAATCTATGTACAAGCAATCAAATGTGCCATACTTCATAAAAGGTACTACAGTAATATTTGAGGGCTAAAACTGTATGGAAAAACGAGGTCAAAAATCTTTTCTCCACTTTTATTCTCAATTGCGTTGTCCCGTGTTATGTGTAATTGAAGTATTCAGTTGCCATTTATGGAGCAAATTTTCAGAGCCTCACTTGTATGGAGCATTTTAATTTCAGCATAAATACTTTAGCCAAGTGTTCTCACTATACACCTTTTCTTTTGATAAATAGAAATTTTATCACTGCCATACTAAGCAAGACTTTCATATTAGTAGTCACCAAAGCTTTTGTTTACCCTTATCAATATACTATTTTGAGGGAGTCACTCAAAATGTAAACTTACATGATAATCAAAATTGACAATGATAAAATACAAAATAAATATTTAATATTTTCTTCTGAACACTCCAAGAATGAGTACCATCACTTTGTAAATAATTTACATATTCTCTCTCATAAAAGGACTGAATTTTTGCTTGTCAGTATCCATTATCTTAGAGTTTCTTTTTTTCTACGATAATTAGGATGTATCAATCTCTTTTTAGTTTTTAGTTTGCTAAGCTGATCTGGTTATCAAAAAACTTTTTCTCTACATACTTTTTAAACTGTTGTGCCACCATTTATGTTTTTCACGCTGCTAGCCTTTAATTCACATGGAACTCATTCTTTCTGTAGTTAAAAGTCCATTATTTCTAAAATATAAATTGTTAAACCTGGAACAAACAAAAGCATATATAAGCTACTCAATTGCTCCAGGTTATTTTAAAGAACAGTGAGTTTGTACTGGATAAGATTTTCAGCCTTGTTTGAAAATGTGTGTATTTGTCTGTGTGTGTAATGTAATTGTCAATATGATTTTGATAAGAATCCCTTGATAATACATAATTAATTACATTAACTTTCTACTTCTTTAATTTTTTAAAAGTGGGAAGATTTTGATGAATTATTTTAGTATGTCCACTATTAGTAATAACAATATTTACATTACTGAATAAATGTCTTTAAAAAAGTTGCCTTGTGAATAAAATGTGAGAGGGAGACACACACATGCACAGAGAAGAGTGAGCTATTTCAGTGGCCTACACAGATGAAATTTTTTATATACATTCTAATAACCCAAATTCATTTGTGTACTAATAGCCAAAAGATGTAAAATCTTCTAAAGGAAAACAATTCTTTAAATCTCAGAGACAATTATAAAAGACTTTCTTAGTGTCATGAATGACAGCAAAATAAATGGATTCAATGATGCCACTAAACATGGGCACATGGTTTTAGAAGAAAAAAATAATAAGGACCTGAGGGGAAATATATTTCTTTCTCCAAGGAATTAACTTCATTTGTAATATTTTCTAAGTTTAACAGACATTTTACACGTTTTCCAATTTCGGAGCTGTGTTTTACTTCTCCAAAGGTCTGGCATTCTGACTGCAGTCTGTCTAAATCCCCATCTCAGTAGCTCACAGGCCACTAACTAGCTCTTAATAATTTTCCTTTCATCAATTAGTGACAGATCTGAATCACCAGAAATGAGAAAACAGGGCAACTAGTTTCAACAGGCCTTGTTCAGTGGCATATACAGAAAGTAATTTTTGTGTGTGACAGTTTTAATAAAAGTGACATGAAACACAAGGGATATGAAGTTAGCAGTATGGCGCCTCAAAAGGGGAGAAAGGTTGGTATGTTACCTCCTGATTAGCAGCAGCTAGTTCTTCTTCCAGTGCAGAGACTCTTTCTAAAGAAACCCTCAGTCGCTCCCTTACCTGGAAGATAAACCAAATTACGTGCTGTAATGTACATTTCATACACGTCAAACTATGCTGAATCCATCATGAACATTATCAGAGACAGTCACACTTGGCTATTATTGAAGTATTTACAGCCTCAAGTGCTCAGGAATACTTTGAACACATTTTCACCTCACTATATCAAGGGATTTCCTTGTAAGCCATGTTGTTTAGAGTTTCAATGATAGATTTCACAGTGGGGTTCGAGGTCGACTGTCGTGTTCTCAAATCTGATGCATAGTTAAGTGGAGGCAAAGTTTAAAGGTATATTATGAATTCATCTGAAAAATAGTCACCGATTAAGTTAAGACATAAGCATAAAACTTTCTACTTCTTTAAATTAATAAAAGAGTTTTCATCTGGCATTTACTACCTAACTTCGAAACTGATTTGTCTACATGCAAAGGGTTCTTAGAATCTGAAAAATGTAGTCCATTGCTATGTTTTGCATTAATTAGAGATCTGTTGCCAGATTGGAAAGTATTTAATTGCTCTGGAATCCCTAACTAGCTTCCACACAAAGGTTAAACCATTATATTTTATAGAGCCAAAGACTCTACACATTTAGTTAGAAAATAATTATGATTTATTTATTTTATTCTATTTTATTTTTCATTTTATAAAAAAGGAAATAATTGTGATTTACAAATGTTTCATATATTAATGAAACTCAAAGTGTTTCTTTTATTCTTGCTTTCATAGAACTTCAAAAATTGTTACATTTATTACATATTCATAGCTACAGATATGCTGTATATTACATTTACCCCAAAAGATAAATATTTTATCATGTAAAAATACATTTATTAAAAAAATCAGAGAAATAAATTAGATTGAATTAAGTGAATAACTACAGCAGCTTCATTTTCCTTAGGGAAAAATAATCAAAAAAATTTATAGCTTCAATGCAATTTATAATGAATTTTTGAGTATTTATGAATTAACAGAGATTTTTCCATAGGAATGTTTTTCCACAGTATTTGCATAGTGAATATATATTTTAATATATAACTATAATCTCTGTTAAGCTTAGTAAAAAATAAAAAGGGGGTAGGATCCAAAGAGGTAACTTTTCTAGGGTGTAAAGAATCCTAACATTTTACCTTGTGTGCATAGCTGGAACTTTATTGACAGGAAAAAAATAGTCTCTCTGTCAAGGCTTTTAGTTTTTTGTTCTGCTCTGAGTATAGCATCAGCAGAATGCCATAATTACCTTTATTTTTCTTGTTGGATTTGTTGGTTTTTTTTCCCTAAATGTAAGTACGCAGTTGATAGCCTTGGCTCTATATTTAACATTTTCTAACTTTTTACTATTTAACCATGTTTAATTTATTTTTACATAGTTTCTAAGTTAAGACATATTGATTGCTTATTTATAGAGCTATAGTGTAACTCCCAAAATATATCTTTTATGTACATCTAGAATATTTGGTTTCTAATTTCACCTGTTACATTTATTTTCTTCATAATGGTATAAAAATAAAGAGAAACATTTTTTTCTTATTCAAAGAATGGTTGAAGGCCACATAAATTTTTTCCCTGGTAATCAAAATAAGTCCTAACAATGACAAATGTGTTTCAGGATGAAAAGGGACTTTAGTGAGAGAAGTATACATTTTAAAATGAAATTAAGTCATGGCAGAGTTTCATTTTGGAATTATCAGTCTTGTAACAGGAAACATTGTGAGGAAATCTACATAGACCAGAATTTCAAATCCAGTTCTGACACTGTGATATTAGATCATGGAAATAAATGTGGAGTACATATATATTTAATATTTGTGTTATATTTCCCATACATATGAAATATATCTATATATATATATATATATTGATATTTAAAAATAGTCAATGATATCTGAGTGATTGCAAAACATGTATTTCTCATTTCCTTCAGCCCATGGAATTGATGAACATACTGGAGGGTGCTGTCAAAATTACTGTTGGTCTTAGCTAATTGTAAAAATTCTACCCTGCAACTCAGTGGGTTTATAAATACAGACATCAATAATGAAGACTGCCAGTCACTGTAACTGTCCACAGCTATGATCAATCTGTTATACTTTACTTAGCTTTTCACGTGTTCTAAAAAATCTGTGTGATAAAGTTGGTAGTTTCTTGCCCTCAAGAAATAGTTAATTGCATCTGCATTTGATATTCTATCTATATTTTAACATAATATCCATAACACTTAAATTATAATATTGTAATTGCTTGTCTATATGTCTGTCTCCCCATCCCTCCCTATACCCATAGGAAGCTGTGAGCTAGTCTTTGCTAGCTAAATTGTTTATGAAGGTGCTTAGGCACATATTGATCCCTCAATAACTAAATGAAACACTATTTAAAACAAGCATGAGGACCAACAGTGATGACATCTTTACGTAGTTTGACAGTTTTGTCAAATGCTGACACTTATTCATGTTAATAATAATACTTATTAACATTCACTGAGCATTTGCCCTGTGCTGAGCTATAAGAGCTTTGCATGTCAGATCACACCAAATCCTCATGGTAACTATGAGGTAGGTACTATTATTCTCTCCTCATTCAAAATAAAAGGAAACAGGTGCTTAGAGAAGCCAATTATACAGGTCTGTCCAACTCCAGAGCCCTAAGTCATAACATTTTTTTCTTTAGACTGTTCAGCATTACTTAGTTGATAAGCAGTTCAATTGCCCCTGAACTCATCAATGTCCAAAGCACTTCTGGTGAGTTATTAAATCGTATTATAGCTGGGGCCATAGGATAAAATACTTCATTTTATACTATGAATATAGTAAATTCACTGAATTGACAGTAAATAATTTGTAGATTCTAAGTTGTGCAATAACCATTTTCTTCTTAAATGTACTCACAGTCATCAGGTTATTTGTTTTAAATGCTGTTTATTGCTTTCTATTCATTCCTTTATTAAAGCACCTCTCATTTAAATGGTGTGGAGTTCTTCTAAGGAGCATCCAAACCACACATCATCAAGTACCTTCATTTAAGTCATATTACATTTTTTCTGAACAGACCATGCTCTTTCTAGAGCTCTGAGTTATTGTACACATTGGTCATATTACTTAGCATATCTTTATTTCTCTGCTTAAAAATCCCTGAGATTTTTTAATACCCACATCAAATGTCACCCATTCTGTGAAGACATTCTTGACTTTCTTGTCATTCTCTCAAGCAGATTAAGTCACAACTTTTTCTGTGGCTCCATTTCACATTGTGCACATCTCTTAGCAATGCCTGTTACTGACATATGAATTTCCAGCACTAATTACAAACTCCTTAATGTAAGAAGAATGTATTATTTATCTTTGTGTGACAAATAGCTGCCAAGGATTCTGACACATAATAGGTGCTCTATAAAGTCCTGCAAATTCTTAACAATGTACTTTTGTAATAAGAAAAGGGATATAATTTGAAACTTGGCATTAAATATATTAAATGATTATTTGATAAACAATATTAGTTGATACTATATTTATCAGGGATCTTCATATAATTTTCATTTCTGGTTTTTCAACATTATTCTTAAACTAGTTGCCTCTCATAGCTAAAATGAAAGATAAAATACAATTTCTTCTTAATAATCTAGAAGATATAAATATAGTTATCATTACGTACACATTCCACATAATCCCTTGCTCAAAGAACATCTGAAAGACCAATGATAAAAATATATATGTATATAAATGTTAAATAGAGCAAAAGTGTCTGCATGTCAAAACCTAGATATAACTGGGAAATAATCCCTAGTTATAATAAAATAGTTCAGATTTTAATTCTCAGAACTTGTCAACCACTTGACAATAAAGTGTCCCAATTCCCACTCTACAAAATCTTAAAGCCTTTATTAATTTTAAAAGCTTCATTCTTTGAAATTTCACAAAATTGAAATCATGTCATATGCCTTACTAATCTCCAAAGGATATTATCATTTTGGCTTATTTATGTCAGTGGAATTTATTTGAGTTACAGCTAAAAGACACTTACAGCTACATGTAAAAAGACCTAAAGTGGGTTTTTCTACTAAAAATAGATATTCAGAACTAAGATATTAGAGACCTAAAAAAAAATGGTTTGCTTTTAACATAAACCTCTGAAGGTAAAGTACATCCGATTTACACCTCAAGAAATGTTTAACTGCCAATGAGTAGTTTCCAATGTTGGCATCTATACCCATGCATTTCAGAGAGGGGTCAGGCAAGAGAAAATGAGAGTGAGAGACTGAGGGAGAGGGAGAGGGAGAGGTGGATGAGGAGAGGGAGGGGAAGGGAGAGGGGGAGGGAGAGGCAGAGAGAGAGAGAGAGAGAGAGAGAGAGAGAGAGATGCTGAATGACAATATTAAATTTCAAAAGGCCATCAGGACTAGGACCATAATGCACCATAACAGAAATCTAACTTAATCAGCCATAGATTCAGTGATATTAATAAAAACAGTTAGGAATACTACCAATATACACACACTAATCCAGTTGCATATTTTAAACAAATGATTTTCCTATAGTTCAAGTGTGCTCCTCTGAACTGATGACTTGAGGAGCCAGGTGCGACATGGATGGAGACAGACGCACAGCTGCTATGACGATCAGCACAGCAGCTGAGGACAAAACTACACTTAAGCTGAACTCTTTTGTCAATGCTATACTACATTTTTCAATACTTTTTTTTATATTTTAGCTTTCTGGGGGTATAATTGACATATAAAATTGTAGGAATCCTTTTACAATACTGTACCTTTTCATCCAAGGCCTTGTGGTGCTCAAACAAAGATTTCAGCGCCTTGAGAACCTCAACTTCGCTGGAAACTCCCGAGGGGGACTGGGCTTGCCGTTTCACCACCGTCATTCTCAGTGACCTTTCATGTCGGGACACAAGGCACTCCAAATGCTCCAGTAACAGCTATTGGGTTTAACAGAAACATAATTATCTTACAGATACAGGTCACCAAAAGTATCTCATGGTAACCTCAGCTGATACCACAGGTAGCAGCAAAGAAGTTCAAACCTAAGTCGATACCGGGTTCATAAAATACTTTGAGTAAATTGCAATTCTATCAAATAACAAGTGACTGAATTTAAAAATGTAATGTAAATTTAATGCATTCTTTTAGAAAATGGAATAATTTCAGCGTGGATTCCATAGAAGTATAACAAAACATAATTATGTGTGATCCAATATGATAATTATTAAAGAACATTGCACAATGCGTGGTGAATTTGTTAAGAGCATTAGTGTGAAAAGTTAAAATTAAATTCATTTAAATCTGTGCACTTAAAATTTTTGAATTGAAGGAAATGAATATAATCATCATGTTGCTTTAAATGTGATTACAGTTATAATCACATGTTGCTATAGTAATTATAATGATAATCACTAATGATTTCATGCACAATTAATTCTTAGATTATATAATAGAAAAATATATGCAACCAACTGGAGTATAGTAACAGATTTGCAATAGTCATTTTGAGACATGAGGTTAAAAGACATAATTTTTACACTGAAGACTCTAGAGCCTACAGTCACCCAGTGTAGCCCTGATAGAGGTCAAGGGTAGAGGGAAAGACTTTCACTGAACAGCCGTTCAGGCTGTTCCAGACTCTATGCTCTGACTTTTCCCAGAAAAATCTGCTTTTAAATGCTTCATAAATTGGGGTTTTGCCTTTGTTCTATTTAATAATGGAGTTGTGCCACTGAACACAAAAATGCATGAAAATAAAATGAAATAAAACAGCTGGGTTATCAGTTATTAAAATTTTCCCAGTGAAGAGCAACACATGGTCAGGGAGTTCTGTCGGAGAGATTTTCAGAAGGATGGCGAAGCATAGGCTAACAAATGGTGTCTAAGCAAAATAAAGCATAAGTTACTCAAACAAAAGAGTAAAAAGCAGATAGATACGGAGGTGGAAAGAAGTAAAGAAAACAATTTTCTTTTGTTCAGGATTTTTACTAGAGCTCACAATGTAATGAACACTTTTGGTTTTCACAATGCCCTGTTAGATTCAGTGTCATGTATTAGTATCACGTTTCTTAGGGCTTAATAAGTTACTGTTCCTTATTATAGCTCAAAGTGTCAGAAAACTTTGCCATGTCATTGGCACAAAAGAATAAATATCTGAGATTCTAAGTGTATATAGACCAGTAGGTAGGACTCATATTTAAGGATCGAAATAATAGTAATAGAAATTCAACGTGAAGATGACACAATTATTAATATTTCAAGGAGTTTTCCTTTTATGTATCAACCTCTGATTATATTCACGGTATTGGACTAAAGAATTGTCCAGATACATACATGTATTGGTTAAATCCATACTGTTCCATGTAGGTTATGTGACAGTGCATGAATTTAAGCCCGTCTATTTCTCCAGCATCGTTTGGTGTTAGTCTTTTTCTGGCAAACTGTGCTCTAACCACACCACCTACTTTCGGTTATTCAATACTCCAAGCCTTTGTATATGCTGTACCCTCTGTCTGCAGGACTCTTTGGCTCCGCATTTGGCCAGCTTTTTCTCATTCTTTAATCTCCGTTTAAGTATCACCCTGTTAATGAAACATTTGCTCACTACTCTATGTAAAGTAGGTCTCTCCTCTTCCCAGCCTCCCTAATTCTCTATTTGAAGCTCTTGCTTCATTTCTTCATAACATATCACCATATGTAATTTCACTAAATTTTATTGTTTCCTCTTTGAAATATAAGCTCCGTGAGGGTGGGTACCATGTCTGTCTTGAGTTTCTTGATCTCTGTGTTTGGGTATTGGTTTAGTTTCTGACATCTGTAGGATGCCATAAGTATTTGTTGAATGAATAGAAACAATGATAAATGAGATAAATTTTCCAGTGTATATACTGGCCTATATCAAAGCTAAATCTGCAGCCATGGTTAATTGATATTTTTTCCTAAAAGCTTAAGCTAATCAAAATTGTTATACACATATGTGTTTTAGATAGATGATATACTAATATAGAAATAAATCTTATAATGACATGAAAAAGGGTTTCTCTAACTGGAAATTAAAGATGTGTCCATTTGTACAGTAATTTAATAAGTATTTGCACATTAGTATCGCATGACGCTGTGTAGGATACAGAAATGTATAAGATATAATCCTCATTTCCTAGGAAAAGTAACACAATATGAGTATTATACTGAAGGAAATGTGTTATTAGAGACTTCCTAAATCTTTTGATCTCACTGTTTATGTCTGGCAAGTTCCTCATATTGCTAATCCCACCTTCCCAACATAGAACACAAAAAACCTTCAATTCTCAGTGTTTAGTGCCACAAAGGTGCTACTAATTATATACCCATGCAAGAAACGAGCTGTCTGAATAAGTGATAAGCTGTATAAATAAGTTGGTTAAGGCATCTATTTTTTTCAGTTGGAGGTGGCAAAGGAATCATGATTTTATACTGAAAAGGAGAAACAATCCTCTTATCAGCTTTGCCATGAAGTTCTGAAATTTGATCCTGAAAGTTCAGGCTAGAGATAATTTTTCTTAAGAATTTCTTATTATCAATTAAAAGCCAGTCTTCTTAAACTAGAAGGTGAATTCTGTTATCTGCAATTAAAAATGCTGCTACACTCATGTAATTAGTTGTACCTACTGCTACCTTTCCTTGTATAGTCATCTGCCATGACTTGAGTCACACTCTCCATTGTTCCTTAAATATGTTAGCAAGTAAATAATTGTTATTTTTCCTGGCACCACTTCAGTCATAATTATTGGTGACTGTTTTTATTCATTTAGATGATTTCCCAGCCTATTGATCTCTACATTTCTAGACCTGTGTACTCCACTGGTCTCAACTTCCATAATCCACATTCATGGTTTCACTATAGATTCTACTGTTATCAACAAGTGCAAATCTCCCATAATTTCAGCTTTTATTATGTAACTCACAAGTCATTACCTTTTAATTCACTTATTTAAATGCTCAAACTCTAAAAATACTTGCACCCTCAATCTCTTTATCATAGGAATTTGTTACTGCCTCTTACCACACTCACTCCTTCACTTTCTACTTAGTCATATTAAAATTTATAGTTCAGTCTTTAAAATCACTCCTTTTCACGTTCCTACAAATTCCAGAAGCTGACCTCTTTCCACTTACATCCACTGCTACCACCTGAGTCAAAGACACATCATCTCTCCCGCTGAATTATTATTATTAGCTTCTTAACTGGTCTTCCTGCTTTCATCATTCCATTTCATCAGACTGTTCTTAAAACACTGTTTAAGTTAAAATGTAAGTTAGGTCACATACCTCTGCTCAAATCCTCAATGTCTTCTCCTTTGGTTCAAGTAATAGCCAAAGCCCTTACAAGTACAAAAGGGATCGAAATTATCTGAACTCATCTCCAATATTTGCTCATTCCAGTCTAGCTGCATTGAGTTCCTTTCAGTTTTGTTTTCTTTTACAAAACATATCAGACATGTATGCTCTCATATCAGGTATTTTGTGCTAGTTTTCTCTAACTAAAACATTTTCTCTCACATGCCCACATGATGACCCATTTCACTATCACTGTCATATTTTTACTCAACAAGGCTTTCCCTAGTCACCTTCTGCCCTAAGTATCCTCTTCCCAGCTTTATTTTTGCTCCTTAGCATTTACCCGTATCTAATGTACCATTTATTTTATATATTTATCTTGTATACAGCCTGTCTGTCAAAAAACAATGTAAGGTCTATGATGAACGAAGTTCTTTATTCTGTTTTGTTCATTGCTATATCGCCAATACCTAGAAGATAGGCACATAATAGATGCACATAAATTTTTGTTGAATAAATGAACACTGATTAATATAGCAGTCTGTAACAGATGTTTATAAGTAACAACTCTTCAGAGAAATGGGAATCTGGGTATCCAATCTAGGTAGGTTTTTCTAAGTAATGATTAGATTAACATTAAAAGAAGAGACATTATCTTCCTTTGTACATGAAAGTAAAATATTTAAATGATCACCCGAGTTCTTCTAAAATGAGGTGCCTCTGACAGTAAGGCTTTGATGGACTGAGTCAGAGCTTCAATAGACCATGTTGAATGGCATGAAGAATGTAAGGACAATGAGGTAAGCTGGGTGCTTTGAACAGCACTAAAGAATAAAAGAAAGAAAATGACAAGTTGAAAGTTTTAAGTTTTTAGGTCAAGGCTCAGAGAACCCAGGAGTTTCTATAGCTGCCCATAATAGCCTCTTATTGAGGCCCCAAGACATAGCAGAAAGAAGATGAAGAGCCCAATCCAGGAGAGGTCACTGAATTGCAATGTATGATGAATCACAGCCTTACCAGGTGCCCTAAGTGGAAACTGTGGAACCACTCTAAAAATAAAAGGTACCACAAGAACTAGGAAAAGAAGATTTGGAAAGGTTCAGATAAGTCTGAATTACCCTTATTCTCAAAATCCAAAGGTCCCCATACTTCTCTGATAAGCCCCATGCTGCTTGTCTTGATGACCATGTAATGGCGTCACTTAAAGCATGTATCTTAGATAACAAAACTTCTGCTCCTCAAGTCCCACCCAAACACCCCTCCTTGCCTACAGGCTTTTAACTAGAACACCAAGGGATAGATCACAAAGTCTAACCTAAGAAGAAAAGCTTCCAAATCAAAAGACACGTATGATTTTGCTAATTTATAATCTCAGAAATCTGGGAATATATGTAGAAATAGATGCTTAGTAGTACTGGAACAGGAAGGAAAAAAGAAAAAATTTGATCTTGGTAAATTAATCAGTGGGACTGGATCACAGAATCTGGATTTAACTTTGATATTAAGCAGCTGGGAGTGGTTGCAATTGTTTTTTGTTGGCTAACTAAAATAGAAACTCAGTGGTGCCCTGAAATAAGGCCATACATGAAATAAGTGGAGGCGGGAATCCAGAAATTCCTCAGGTATAAGGTAGAAGATGAAAACTGAAG